GGTGGACCAGGAAGCCTTCCCTCCACACCCGCACCCACGTGTGCGAGACACTCCCGAGTAGCATGTGCGTTGCCCCTACTTTGGCTCACGTCTCCCTGGAATGGTTCCCAAGGCCAATGGGGCCGTCCAGCTATGGAAGCACCACTTTGCCTTCTTCCCAGTCCCGATCCGTCCTGTGACCCCACATCCTCTACAGGTCAACAAAACAGTCAGGGCCTGTGTCCTCGGGGGCTCTGAATACTGCCTTCGCTCTCCCGCACGTCTACAGGCTGCCTACAGAATCCGAACTATCCCGTTGTGGGGAAGGATAGCATCTTCAGTAAACAGGGCTGGGAAAACTGGACAATCACACACAAAGAAGTAAAATCGGACCCCAATTTTATGCCACCCACCAAAATTAACTCAAAATAGATTAAAGACTTACATGTAAGACATGAAACTGTAAAATTCCTAGAAAAAAAATAAGGGACCAAAAAAAATAGAAATAAGAAAAAGAAGAAAAGGAAAAGAAGGGACAAAGGTCCTCGATGTTTGTCTTGGCAACAACTTTTTGGATGTGACAGCAGAAGCACAAGCAACAGGAGCAAAAATAAGCAAGTGGGACAACATCAAACTGAAAATAACATCCACACAGCAAGAGAAACGATCAACAAAATGAAAAGGCAGCCTATGCGATAGGAGGAAATATGTGCAAGCTGTCTACACGATAGTTGGTATCCAAAATATGTAAGGAACTCATACAAGTCAAAAGCAAAAATCCACAATAATCTGAGGAAAAATGGACAGACGACATGAGTAAACATTTTTCTAGACATTCCTTTTTTTTAACTTTTTTTTTTGAATGTTTATTTATTTTTGAGAGAGAGACAGAGTGTGAGCAGGGAAGGGCCAGAGAGAGAGAGGGAGACACAGAATCCGAAGCAGGATCCAGGCCCCAAGCTGTCAGCACAGAGCCTCACATGGGCTCGAACCCCTGAACCTTGAGATCGTGACCTGAGCTGAAATCGGACGCTTAACCGACTAAGCCAGCCAGGTGCCCCGTTTTTCTAAAGAAGACATGAAGATGGCCAACAGGTGCATGAAAAGATGCTCAACATCACTCATATCAGAAAAACCCAAATCAGAACCACAATGAGAAGCACCTCACACCTGTCAGAATGGCGGGATCAGAAAAACAATCAGAAAAAATGGCGGGATCTTGTTCACTGTTGGTGGGAATATAAACTGGTACCGCCATTATGGAAAATAGTACGGAAGGGCTTCAAAAAATTAAAAATAGAACTACCATATGCTCTAGCAATCCCACTTCTTAGGAAGTGAAATCAGGATCTCAAAGAGGTATCTCTACTCCTATGTTCACTGCAGCGCTATTCCCAATAGGCAGGACATAGAAACAACCAAAATGTCGACCAACAAATGAATGGATAAAGAAGATACACAATGGAATATTATTCAGCCATAAAAAGAAGGAAACGCTGCCATTTCCAACAACATGGATGGACATTGAGGCCATTAAGCTAAAGGAGATGAGTCGGCAGAGAAATATAGCAGAGAGCAAGCGTATGATCTCACTTACGTGCGGAATCTAGAAAAGCTGAGTTCTCAGAAACAGAGCTTGGAACGGTGGTTGCCGGGGCTGGTGAGTGGGGGAAACGGGAGGATGCCAGCCAAACAAACTTCCGGGGGTAAGACGAGTGAGTTTCGGTATCTGACTTGCCGCGTGGTGACCGTGGTCGACGACACCGCGCCGCATGCTTCATGTTCCCACCGCGCACCAGAGACGGGTGATTACGGGAGGTGAAGGACCTTACTGAAGGCAAGCGACCTGGTCGTGGTCACCGTCTCCCAGCGTATGCGCGCATCGCGTCATACGAGCCTCCGTCTCACACTCGCACAAGGTCACCTGTCAGTTGCATCTCAGCAAAGCGGGGGGAGTATGGAAAGCACGTGTCGCTGCTACAGGGAGCTGGGGCCTGGGGGGTGTCTGACACGCAGCCTGGCTACAGCAGACACTGAATGAGTAAACGCCCAGCAAAGTTCCCGGCAGGGGAAGCGCTTGAAGGCGGTAACGGCTCGGGCCACAAAGGTCACGGGCTTTGGGGTCAATGCCGGTCTCAGGATGCAACCTTGACCTCATCTCTCAGTGTCTCTGAGCCAGCTTCTTCATCTGTAAGTGGAGGGTACTTGTTGTGTGGATTAAATAAAATACTCCTGCTGTGGTGCCCCGCTGTCACAGCTGAGTGCCACCTCGTAGGCAGGGATCTTCTCAAAGCCACCTCGTCTCTACCGTCTGCTGGCCGTGTGTCCCACCAGCATCTCGGGAGCATGGCAGCCCAGCGTGAGCACAGCTGCCTGCCCACAACTCTGGCAGAAGTGGTAAGTCGGCACGTCCCGCATTCTGAGGGCTCCATTACTGCCAAGTCTCAACTCCCCCGGGCACCGGGCACCGCCCCCCCCATGCCCTAGCTCCACGTCCCCAAACAGCCTCGCCTTCCGCAGTGGACACCACGGTTGCTTCTGACCGCGCCCGGGCTTCTCCCATGCGAGTCCCATCTGAGGCCCTGGCGGGCTGCCCTTCCTCCTGACGGCCACCCGCCCTTCCCCACCCAACTACACCTGCACCGTGGCCACTGCCTGTCACACCCTCACGAGGGCCGCCGCGCGCATAGCACGATCCATAAAGCACAGCACGATGCCTACTCCCTTTAGCACCCAAACCAGAGACCAGGAGCTCATCCCTGACATCACCCGGTGTGATTTTTTTTTTAATGTTTTATTTCATTTTATTTTTGCGAGAGAGAGCACAAGCGGGGAAGGGGCAGAAGGAGGGAGATAGGGGATCCGAAGTGGGCTCTGTGCCTGACATCAGTGAGCAGAACGTGGGGCTCGAACTCACCAACAGTGAGATCACGACCTGAACTGGAGTCGGACGCTCAAGCAACTGAGCCACCCAGGCGCCCCATCACCCAATGTGATTAATGCCCAATTAATGCTGATTCTGGTTCTACCAATTCAATCTCCTGATAACACTCCCCACACCCACCCTTCTCCCTTCTCTAAGTTCACTGCCTTCTGGATTCAGAAAGTTCTGTCCCTGCTACGTCCTAGCGGTGCAGCCTTGGGAAAATCACCTCTCTGGGCCTTACGTTCATGAGCCCATGAGATGGGTTTATTACCAGTTCCTATGTCATAAAATTAGCATTTAGAGGAAATAACATAAGGTATGTAAAATGCTTACCATAGCACATGGCTCCAAGTAAGTCCCCAGTACAGGTCACCTGTTGTCATTATTGTGGTGGTGGCTGCTATTATCATTATCTGGACCTCGGCCTCTCTCACCTGGGCGAGGTTAGGAGTCCTGCACCTGGTCACTCACAAAGGGTGAGGACCAGGGTCAGCCATCTGGTGGAGCCACCTGCAGCCACAGTAGGATCATTCTGTCCCTTGAAAAGCTAGGAGAAGGCATGAACGCAGGACAGCCTCATACCCAGGCACAGACCTTGGCTGTGAGGCTGCCTGTCCTCACAGCGAGAGCCTCCAAGGGGCCTAGGGAGAGGTGTAGGACTCTAGGGATGGAGGGTGCCTTGGAGAGGATCTAATTCAATTCCCTGATTTTAGGACAGCAAAACTGACTTTCTGCAAACATAAAGGACTTGCCGTGGCCAATTTCACTTAACAAGGGGTGATCTGTGTCCAGCCCCGGGGCTGGATGCTGGATATGTAGCCAGGCAGATAAAGAGTTGGATCAGACCCAGTTTTCCACTAAACCATCTCACCTACAGACCCCAGATCAGCTGGCTAAAAATAACACATTTCTGTGCGCTACCTAAAGGGAGAAAACCAGAATTCTGTATTACCAATAAATCATGCTGACGACTTCTGTCAACCGGAAGCTGGAGATTGAAACACCAAATTGGACTTTTACACAAGTAAGAAGACTGGAAAACATTGAGAATAAATCTTAATGGGGACGAATTCTTCCATGCCAGCATTTCCCCCTTAGACACACACACACACACACACACACACACACACACACACACACACACA